GTTCCCTAAGGAAAATTTTTTTTACACCATAATCTTGAAAATTAAGTATGGATCTGTTTACTGGTATAATGGCGTAGATAAAATTACAAGGTATTTAAATTTTATAAAGCTCTATCAGTAATATATGTAGGATTGGTGGGATTTTGGAGAATTAACCTTAGTCACTCAGAAAGAAGTTTTTGAATTTTATCATTCATCATTAGAATTTTTGTATTTTAAGAAGTTATCATACTTGTTTTATTAAGTCCTTTGAAAATATGATCTTAAATATTAAACATTGAGTGAAATTTGGAACATCAACATTTATTGTATTTTGTGCAATCTAATCATAACAACCATCATCATATGATGAATTTAGTGCAATCATTTATATTTTAATGGTTTAAATATCAATTTATTGATTAACAATTACAGGATATATAAAAGAACTGCAGTGCAACTATTTCGAATTACCTATATATATCGTAATGATAGATACGTATAGGATTGTTGAGATACTTGCAGAACCCATTGAAATAATCCTTTAATTTTGCAATTGGCCTCTTTTCAGATGTTAAAAGCTATTAAACTTTATTATGAAGGAGGTTATGTTCTTATTTATGTGCATGTTTTACATTGAGGTGGGATATTTGCATCAGATGTAGTAAGGTACTTGAAACGCTCTAATTTAAAACATTAGAGTTGAGAAAGCAGTAAAATAATGTCGACAATTATTTGAATTATGTTGACAAAAATGGACATATGTTATTTATAATTATCATCAGTTGCTCAAATAAAAATATTTGGTGGGCATATTTTTTCAATTACACTTATTAATTGAGATACGCAAGTTACGAATTTATCTGAGCAAAGTGTAAACAAGATTGCTATTTGCATGAAATGTACATATAATAGCGATGTACATTTAATGCAAGCTAAATTATACCTAAAACATCATGTCATAATTTATAAAAAATGATAGAAAATATTATTCTTGTACATAAGGCTCAGACATTATGGCAAGAACATTAGTTGCAGCTTCAATAACACTCAAGGTACAAAGAAATGCATTTAAAATAACATCTACTTTGTCAAATGCACATGTTTAACATGAAATTTGTGTTGGAAATTCTGCACAGCAACCTCAAATAATATAGTACTTACACAAAATTAACAACTCAGGTACATTTATGAAAAAAAGAGATGAGCATTTTTAACAGTGGTGCCTCGTATCAACATAATTACTGGAAAATATGATCGAGGTAATAGTAAGGTATAAAGATCTATTGCATATTAAGTAGAAGCAGCATCAAGTACAGAATCGTTATTACTTGAGAAAATAGCAAATTGTTTACTTTTTGAATAATTCCATAATATAAGTTATGGATTAAACATAGTTACAAATCTATCATGACATGACATATAAAACAGAACTACGTTTAGTGTAGGAAACACTTTGAACATATACAAGAGATGCCATTTATTAATTATATTTAGATCATATTAAAGCAAATATATAATTAGCGGCCACTAAGAGAAATACATTTTTTAGAAATTGTAAAGCAGAAACATTAAAGAAATGTAAACAAAATAATTAGCCAGGCAAAATTTATGTTTTTAAATATTATTCAATCATCTCCTACTTGTTTCTTTGCTTTACTTTCCTTTAATTTTAAATCAATCAAGGATCTTCGACATATATAAATCTATAAACTACTTCAGAAATTAACAATAGACTTATCCTACATTGTTGGATTCTTAAAAAAATGAATGATTATTTTCTAAAGTTTAAGTGTTGATTCACTAAATTTTTATCAAGATTATTCCCTACAAAACAGAGAGTTAAGATATTTAATTTTTTCCTATTTCAAATAATATTTCCATTTATTGCAGAACATACTCATTATTCTATTTGAACTTTTTGATTCTACACTTCAGTATTGCTAGGAACACTTTCTTTCAATAATTATGAGGTTTTAACCCTGAAGAGAGAATTGCAACCAAATTAAGTTCGATTCATATTAAATGAATTTTTGCTTAAAATGGGGAAATTATAATTGGCAATTTGTTATTTGGTTGCATTTAATTTCTCAAAATTTTAAGAAAAAATTAAATTTTTTAAGAATAAAGGATTTTCAAAAAATTTAGATGACATTTTCATAAAAGAATTTCTCTCCGTTGAAAAAAATCATAAAAAGGACATTTATTTGAGTATAAAACATATTAATTGTGATAAGAAGCAAAAAAATTTTCATCTATTGGATTTATTTGCTAAAGCAGACAATAAAAGAAGCAATTCTATGTAAACAATCATGCAATCTTAGAGGATAATAATTTTATTAAACATATTTAAGTGGGAAAAAACTGTTAAATGCTTAAATTAATTTATTGATATAGACCTTAAAAGTTTGCAGGAAGGGCATCAAAAT